AACATAATTGAGTAAATTTTTCTTTCAACTAATTTTGGACGAATTGTACAAAGTTAGCTTTAATTGAGGTATGAACGTAATCAAAATTAAGTTAATTTGATGACTTGATTAAGCTACCTAAATCACAAAAAAATTTATTCTAATCATAAAATTAATTGTTATAAACTACAAAGGTTTATAATTTTTTTAATAAATGTAAACAATTTATAAAGATATAATACCTTCTCATCCAATAGGACCATCAGGTGAGAAACTCGTACTTTGATTTTCCAATCATTTTTGCTCGAATCTAATTCTCTGATTAAATCAGATCTGCGTGTAAAAAAAAATTCAGTAAACAAAACATAAACATATAATCGTTAAGTATTCCAATTAAACACAATGTAAGCAATAATCACAAATATACATTTAAACATTGTTTTTAAAAATTAAGCTAAAAATTACTCAGCCATTGATGACTAAAACTGACACAAAATTCGCTTGATTTGGTTTTGTATTGATACGAAATTTTGTTGGTGTTGTAAGATGCGTCAATTTATAATGGTATGAATCACAAAATTTAATTTACTTATTATTAAGGAATAATTTTTATTCCTTATCATAAACACTATCAAGATTTATCTTAGATATATAAATCCTATATGTGCGATGCACGATTTTTCATACATATATCTCAAGAAAAGATATTTAATAATTTCAAACAAAAAACTATAATAATAATAATAATAATAATAATAATAATAATAATAATAATATAATAATTAAAATGATATTGCCAATTACAAAAGTATAATTTTTTTAATGTAATTTATAATGCGACTTAATTTATTGTGGTTTTGTATTTTATTCGTTGTTGTTAATTATATGACATTAATATGATATCTTTCAAAAAAAAAAAAAATTTGTTAATATGATATTTCATTGATTACATATTAGGGTAAAATCTTTAATGTGAAAAGATAATAGCTTTTTATTTTTAAAACAATTTAAATCCTAAATTATTATTCGTTGCTTTTTACACTTGATATTAAACTCTCAAATCTATATATCATTTTGTATATTTCTTGTGATCTCTTGATATTTATATATCATTTTGTATATTTCTTGTGATCTCTTGATATCTAACAAATTATCTGTCTTTTCAAATTTTTAGACATAAAATGTTTAAAGAAGGTAAAGTTTTTTTTTTTTTTATTGCGTTATAAGTTTTAAATTTTTTTTATGAAAAAAACATCTTATTAATCGGGTATTTAGATAAAACCATTAATTTCATAAGATAATTTTTATTCTTTTTAATAATTTAAATCCTAATATCCCACGATTTTATAAATAAAATCTCATAAAAATAATTTTTGTAATTAGATCATAGTCATAATATTTTTGAACATTAAAAATAATAGTTATTAGATGTAATATTTCGATGTAAAAAAATTTGTATTAAAAAAAAAATTTCGATAGGATCACCAACTTTGTTCACACCGATAACTCTTCCATCTAATAAAAATGGATAAATAGAACATGTTAGTAAAAATAAAATTTTTATAAAATTAATCTTTATAGTCTTATTATATAAATTAAAATATTTTACCAGAAAGTGAATAATTGTTGTGAAATTAATCTAAAAATTGTAATTATACAAAATTAAATCTATGCATTGGATTTTTTTCATCGTCCCCAATTGCCCAAACAATAGTATTTTGGAAAATTGAATCATTATTTTATTGTCGCTGACAATGCGTGCGATATTACTTCTTATTTGTATCTAATGGAGTAAATTTTTCCTTCAATCAATTTTGAACAAAATTGTAGAACAAAGTTGACTTTAATTGAGGCATGAACGTAATCACCCTGTAATAAAAAACAAAAAATTAAAGTTAATTTTATGACTTAATTAAGCTACCTAAATCACATAAAATTTGTTTAAATCATAAAATTAATTGATAAAAACTAAAAGGTTCATTAAAAGATTAAATAAATGTAAACGATTTATAAAGATAAAATACCTCCTCATCCAATAGGGTCATCAGGTGAGAAACTCGTACTTTGATATTTCAAAGATTTTTGCTCGAATATAATTCTCTGATTAAATTAGATCTGCATGTAAAAACAAAATTCAGTAAAAAAAACATAAACATATAATCATTAAGTATCCCAAATAAACACAATTTAAGCAATAATCACAAATATACATTTAAATATGGGTTTTAAAAATTAGGCAAAGAATTACCCAGCCATTGATGACCTAATAAAACTGACACAAAATTAATGACACAAAATTTGCTTGGTTTGATTTTGTATTGATGCGAAATTTTGTTGGTGTCATATGATGCGTCAATTTATAATGGTAAATATCACAAAAATTAATTTAATTATAATTAAGGAATTTTTTTATTTCTTATAATAAACACTATCAAAATTTATCTTATAATAGTAGGTATATAAATCCTATATCTAAAGATATTTGTTTAAAAGATAACTTTTAGTTTTTTAAATAAATTAAATCCTAATAAATCAATATTCGTTGTTTTTACTTACATGGAAAAACTCTTAAATCTCATTCGTCACTTTTACTTAGGTGGCAAACAAATTTTTTAATTCTAAAATAAAATAGAAATCTAGTTTTTAATTGGTCGAAATAATGCCTTTGCTTATGTGGCGCGCCGAATGCTCTCCAAAAATGCCTACTTTATTTATATATATTTGATTTAACTTATTTAAAAAAGTAATAGAGAATTAGTAAAAAAAAAAAGCAATTAAGTTTAATAAAAATAATTTCAAAAGTCAATAATAAATAGATATCTATTCACAAACAAAACTACAAAAAGTAGACTATTATTTAATTAAATAAGCGATATGAGGATTGTAAAAGATCCTAAGCCTTGTTTGTGGACCAAACTCTCTCCTTGTTCGGGTTGCCGAAGCCCATTTCATTTTTATCTCAAAATTTAACAAATCTGGTAACATTTCAGCCTTCTGAAGCAGCCAGAACTGTTTTTGCGGGAAGGCACAAATGAAGCTAAAAGGTCTGTCACAAATGCTGAAGCTGATGTTAATATACATTCTGCTATGGCAGCAGGAGAAACTTTTGAACCGGATCAAGCTTTACTCCGTATTCTATTCTTTGAACTTTGTAGGGGTAGCATTTTGTCAAAAAAAAAAAAAAAAAAAAAAACTTTGTAGGGGTAGCAACTAGCAAGTACACATAAGACCATCTCCATTGATGAGACTCAATTTTGAGTATTGAAATACAATATGAGTTGTTTTTTTACCTCTAATAGTGATACCCAACCCACTTTTCAATTTAACAACTCATGTGAAATCTAATTTTCCAATGGTGAGACTCTCTAAAATATACTAATGTCACTTGAAACTTATGAACCACCAAATCTATATTGTTAGTTTTTCAAAAAAAAAAAAATAAAAAAAAATAAAACTTAAATAAATTACAAAATATATTATAATATTGATAAAGGGCCCACACTTTTTGTCAAATGAGACTCAAAGTTAGGTATCTAAACTTAGCAACTTTCTTTTAGAGTTGCTAAGTTTAAATACCAACTTATTGGTATCATTTGCAGAAAATACTCTCTCTCTCTCCTAAAGAAACTCCCTCAAGTCTCACCATTGGAGATGGTCTGAGTGCTTTTTTTGGTGTGGCTGGTGCGGCAAGCTAACACACATTGTACACTGATTGGGTAATCTCTTGCTGATCGAGTAATCCCTGCCTGACTGTCTGATTGAGTAATCTCTAAAACTGAATAACCTTAACTGTCTAATCCTGACCACATTATGCAGCCAGCCACATGAAAATTTGTGTTCATATTATTTGCAACATTTGTAAAATAAATGAATGTTTTACTCCTTATTTGTAACAAATGTTTTCATTTCTTTTTAAGTTGTCATTTCTCTTTATCTCTCTTCTCATTACATGCATCTCTATCTTTCTCTCTTCATTTAACACTCGCAATTCACAAACAAATTTTGTTTATGCGTTTGTGTAACTTTTCAAAGTTGATAAGACGAAATTAAGGTACTCGTAGTATTATGTTACATCACCCCTATTGACTAGGGTGATTGTACCAGCAATGATAAATCAAACTTTAATTTAAGGATTAAGAACTTTTTTTTCTTTTGATGAAGATGAGAAAGATTTATTAACTATGAGAGTTTTTTGACAAATTGACCAATACTTCGTTCATATTAAATTACTCGGAATAATCCCACCTTTGGAGCATCCGCCCAAAATAATCCCATTTTTGGGTTATTTATAAATATTCCGACCTTTATACTCAATCCGCTCAAAATGGTCCCGACACCAGTAACCGGTTAAAGAGGTAATTTTTTTTATTAAATTTAATTTACATGTGTCACAACTTGACTTGTCTAAAATTAAAAAATTAAGTATTTAACTATAATTATATTAAATAAATAAATTATTTACCTAAAGTATAGTATCTTAGTTCATTGCTAATACATATGTTTAATATTGTTGAACTCTATTGTAGCCCACTTGTGAGTATCCCACATTGGAGAAAGAGGAGAGATGGTTTCATTTTGTAAGGTAGAGGAGTTACTCCTATTGCCAATTGGTTTTAGTTTAGAAGCTCCTAAGCCTTGTTTGTGGACCAAACTTTCCTCCTTGTTCGGGTTGCCCAAGCCCATTTCATATTATCTCAAAATTTAACAAGACTGCTAACATTTCAGCCTTCTGAAGCAGCCAGAACTATTTTTGCGGGAAGGCACAAATGAAGCTAAAAGGTCTGTCACAAATGCTGAAGCTGATGTTAATATACATTCTGCAATGGCAGCAGGAGAAACTTTTGAACCGGATCAGGGTGTTAGCAAACTGCAGAGTGTCCCTTTTGTGATGTCCTCAGCTTGGAATGTAATGAGTGATGCTACAAAACTTAGGAACGATCATTAATTCAATTTACTTCCAGTTAATATTAGGAAATACCCACATCATTAGAATCCTTAATATAATAAAATCTTCCAAAACATCATAAAATGACCACATTAACACTTGATTTAATTAGTTTAGCAAGCAGTTTTGCCCTACTTCTGGCAATTTCCAAGTAATCCCCTTTATAATTCAAATACCAATTGCTTAGCTCTCCAACTTGTTCGGGTATACGAGGATCAAGTATAAACTTCTTAAGCATGGGAGCATGTTGAGTGAGATGATACGCAAGAGCAACAGCATATTCACACCCAGTATATCCAACAAATTCTAGCGCCTCGAGTCTCTGGAGGGTACGAATTGCATTAGTTTGAGCAACATTAACATTAATTGGTATTAACCTTGTGCAGTAGTCATACTGGCTCCAAAGCATTATCTGCAAACAAAAGATTCACGTCAATACTGCTTGCAATGCGAACAAAAGCTGAAGACTATCCAATTTGTACATCATGTATAAAGAGCATATATAGATAGTAATCAAAATTTGTACCAACCTTCAACTTGAATGTATGCAACAGAGGGCATGCCGTAATCAGGGATAATGTCGATACTAAAAGGTATTTAGCATCATCCCATGCGAAAGATAACTCCAACAGCTTAACATTAGCAAAGGATGGAAATTTACAAGCTTGAAAGGGTACCTACAAAATTGGATCAAAACAAGTGTGGTTATACTAATATCATGCACAATTGCACACAAATAAACCTGTATTACTAGGAATCTTCATGTTACATCAAATGTCCAAGTTAGATTTTTGACAGTTTGATGCGCACAAAGCATGTTTTATACAATAATACCCGATTAGCAACTTAATTATTATGTATATATTGATTATAGCACACAAGAATAATACTAACCTTGAACCAATGCAGCGAGAGTTTTTCAAGTTGGGAAGACAAACCGGATAGAAAACTCCCGTTGCAAAGTTTAGTAGAATATATCCCTCCGAAAGCAGCATCCACAAGTGATGGAACACTAACGTACTCCAAATCAACGGTAGGAGACTCAATAAATAAAAGAGTAACAAGATTTGGAGCAACAATGTGCAATGATTCAGTATTGAGAAGGCGGGTGCTATGAAAAATCTCCAAGTGTTTGAGTGTAAGGGATGAGATAACAAGTTTTTGGCGTTTGGAAGAAGCAAAAACATCATCGGTGGCCATACACGAGTGAAGCATAAGGCGGCCAAGTTTAAGACAATTAGATAAAACCCATTGAAGCAGAGGTCCATCTACAACCACCTTTGTCAAGTAAAGAGATACAAGACTAGTATTCAAGACAAAAGTCGGGTTCTTAAAAATGGGGATCGTAGGAAGAGTTCCCATGTGCAACTCCAGATTTCGAACCTTTTTAGTACAGGCGAATTCGAGCCACTTATCAATATTAGAAGCATATATTTTATCACCAAAAGGAATAGAAAAATGCATTCTGAAGGTGTTAAGATACTGAGCTTGATTTGCTCTGATAACCTGGTTAACCCAATCAGCATAATTACCCGCTTCGGAATTCTCATACGGCTTAGTAATTGCAATGGCTAGCCTTGGAGGATCTTCGAAATCTAGGTCCGTGATATAAGTCCATACATGTCTCCACCTTTTCGAAAGAAGGCTAGTTCTTGCTGCTGCTTTAATTCCTACAAAAGATAGCAAGTATACCAGTATATCATCAGGTAAGCTGCTAATCAAATCCACTTTGTCACTCTGATCACCTTCAAGATTTTTGTTGTTCCTCTGCCAAAAAGAAAATATATATACAGCATGGAATCAAAATTGTATGATCGAATATTACAAAGTTGTATTAAAAGAAATAAATGTTAAAGTAGACACAACTTACTCTTCTCTTATAGCACTTGTGAATGGTGGTAGTCTTATGTTGAAACATATCTCGGAGGCATGTCCAAGCATCCATGGCAGTAGTAAAATTATTATCAAGAAGAGTGATGAGTAAATCAGTGGAGATAGTGGCGTAAATCCAAGAGAGGACGACAGCATCAAGTCGAGCCCAAAGAGTGGTGTCAGTAATAATGTGTGAAGGAGTAGGAATGGTGGAGTCGATGTGATCAAGAACATTGTAGGCACGGGCCGTGACACGGAAAAGGGTAGACCAACGACTATATAAAATATTTTTGGTATGAAGAACAAGAGGAATGAGGTTCTTAATGTTGGACACATGAAGTGCAGGGTGAATAAATTCACAGCAAGTTTGACAAGCGCAGTTTTTCTCCATGCCTCAGTTTGTAGAGCACTGCCAACAGTAGCGTATCATCAAAGTTCAAATCAACAATAATGATAGAGAAACTAGATATATTATCTCTTGATATTATCTTCTCCATATTTGAGGAGATAGCAAGTTATCCCTCCAAATATGGAGAAGATAATATCAAAGAGATATTATCTAGTATCTCTATCAAATAATGCCTTAGTTCATGGTACTTAAATTTTAAAATAGATAACAAACTTAGGGCGTACATGTGCAATTTTTGGTTTTTCAAAAAACAATTATACTCCAAGACCTTCTATATTCTCATTTAAAGATGGCAGGAAACCCACCTCCTAATCTTCAACAGTTGGCAGAGACCATTGGGCAGAGACAGCGCCGTCTATTGGAGGCATTTGTCGCGTGGGAGAGAAGGGTTGGCGACACTCAGGCTATGGCAAGAATTCGAACAATGTTTTTACTGGAGATACGGAAGGCCGAAGTGCTTGACGTCGTCGATTTGGCAACAGCTTGTTGGGCAAGTCGACTTGTGGATGAATATAATTGGGGCGGGAGGTTTGTTTTGCACATTCCAGATGATGTTACCTTGGAGGTTGCGGGACAGATTAACGACGTAATGCAAGGCTTGCTATATGAACACGCAGCAGAGTAAAGCCATAATTCTTCTTTTAATTCTTGATCAATGTTATACTAGACAGTAGGCCCTACGGAGTAGACTCTAATTTCTACGTACAAAAGTTAGCTAGATTAATTTTTTTTAGTAATTCTTTTTAGTCATTATGAGATTTGATCCTGAGAAGTGCTTACATTAGAAATAATTATAAGCTGTGACTTTATGTGTAGTTAATTTTGATCATGGATATACTTTGATTAAGTTAGATTAAATTTTGATCTTACTCCATTATTATTAGGGAATCAATTCAATTCAATATAAATTCAATAATTTCTATTCAAGTCACTTAAGTGAAAAATTATACGGAGCAGTTAATTTCAAATTATTCATTTGCATTCACTTCAACTTAATCAGTTCGATTCGGTTTAGTTTAGATAACGTACTGGTTCAATTCGCAATGCCGGAGCTAGGAATTTATGGGTGAGCGGGGCAAAACTTAATATAGATGGGTGAAAATGATAATAGAGGAGGGGAAAAAACCAACAAAATTTGGTTGTATAAGGTTTTGAACCCACAAGAACTCATGTTGCATATCTCTCTCAAAGTACGTATATGCATACAGTCCAATGACTAATACGGTCTAATGACGTTTCATGTAAATTTAGCATATTTGATTTAAAGAAAAATAGGAAAATTATATACATAGTACTCAGGACTACATATAAAATGCTAAGAGTAGAAAAATAAATAATATAACATTCATGACATCGGTCTATTATAATAAATTTACATTACATGGTTTTAAACTTTCAATGAATACATTACGGGAAAATAGACAATAATCAGATGGAGAAATTACTTGATAGTTTACAAGAACTCATGTTGCATTTTATTATTGTAGTGCAATGACAATCAATGAAAGCGCCACGTAAGATTAATAATTTTAAAACGCTACAATAGGATTATGCCACGTAAGATTATTTTTAGAGCGTCACATAGGAAAATGTTATATTTTAGCCAATGAAAAAAAAAGAAAGAATTGTAATTTATTTTAGATAAAAAATTTTATATTAATTATAAAAATAAAATCAGCACGTTTTTTGTGTGGCTGGCCATATCATAAATTCAAGTTTATTAGATAAATATATATATTTAGTAAAATATTTTATTTGAAAAAATACAAACAAACCATGCATCGCACGGGCTTTTTAGAGCGTTACGTAGGATTTTAATTTTTTAAAAGTTATTAGAGCGCCACTTAGGATTAATATTTTTAAAACGCTACAATAGAATTTTGCCACTTAAGATTAGTTTTTTTTAAAAGCGCTACGTAGGATTATAATAAAAAAAATAAAAAATCGCCACATAGGATTAATTATTTAAAAACGCTACAATAAGATTATGCCACATGAGTTTAATTTTAGAGCGTCACATTAGATAGTGTTATATTTTAGCCAACAAAAAAAGAATAACAATTTATTTTAGATCAAAAATTTTATATTAATTATAAAAATAAAATCAGCGCGTTTTTTGTGTGGCCGGCCATATCGCGTGGCCGACTGAGACACACCCCAAACATTGACCGAGTAAACCCTGACTGTCCGAGTAACCCCTGGTCGATTGAGTAACCCTTGACCAACCAAGTAATCCCGATCACACGGTATAACCAGCCACATATAAAACTTTGTAAAATAAAATATTATCTTTTTATATTACAAATTTTATCTAAATATGAGAAACAAAGCTAATAATTCATTTTATAATAAAAAATTCAAGTATTGAGCAAGCGAATATCACAAACTTTATTATATAAATATATATTAGTAAAATATTTTATTTGAAAAAACAAACAAACCATACATTGTAGGGCTTCATCTAGTTTGTTATAAAGAAGTCTACTAAGCTTTGCCCAAGTTTTTACCACAGTTCATTATTTATAACTCGTGCAAAAGTACAAGAAAGAGCATAATAATGGTACGTTGACAGTAACGGTAATTATGTAGTGTAATAGGCATCAATTGAATAAATCGATCATCTAATGTATTACACTTAACAATTACCTGAAGCTAAGAGTTTAGCACGCAAAGATATTTCAAAAAAAAAGGCAATTCGTATAAGTATAATTTTGTTAGATAAATTTGACATATGATTGAGTATTATAACTTGATTTTGATTTCTTCTTACACTAGCTAGAGCGACATTGGGAACTATTGTATTTCCCCATCCTCCAAAATTTTATGAGGGACCTAATCATATAAAATCAATTATGCGACTCCAACCATCTCAATTTAAGCTTTTATTTGGTTGAATAATATAAGGATTTATATTACCACGTATTTAATTATTTATCATTCATAAGTACATACAATATAAACCATTAATTTAAGGGTAATTATCACTGCTACACTCCAACTTCTGACTTTTATCTTTGATACACCTCATCAATTATTCTTTATCAGTGGTACACCCAAGGTTTCACACAGTTATCAGCGATACACCTACTGTTCCCTTTCCGTTAAAAAAAGTTAGTTTTGGCTTTTTTTCGATTGTTTACCTTAAAAAACTGACACGTGGCGGCCTGTGATTGGTCCAAAAAAATAGAATTAAAAAAAAAGTTAAAAAAATCAATTAATTAATTTTTTTTAAATCTTAAATTAAAAAAAAACCACCTCTTTCCTACTTTTTTTCCTACCTCCTTCCTTTCTCTTTCCTCCATCCTTCCTCCTCCTCCATAACTTCCGGCAGCCCACCCAAACATCCCACCCCCCTCTGACCACCCCTCTCCTTCTCTTTCCTCCTTCCTTTCTCTTTCCTCTTCCCTTCCACCACCATAAATTCCAGCAACAAGTAATTAAATCCGGCAGCCCCTGGAAACCCTGTTGAAACCCCAACCTCTAAAACCCGAAACCCCCTTAAACACCCAACCTTGAACCTGAAACCCCCTAAAACACCCACCCTTGAACCCGAAACCCCTTGAAACACCCACCCTTGAACCCTACACCCTCCAAAACCCCCACCAAAGAAACTGATACACCTCGAAACCCCCGCCATTGAAGCCAATACACCCTGAAACCCCCACCATTAATGCCGGTACACCCCGAAACCCCCACCCTTCCCACCACAGCCATTGAAGTCAAGTTGTGGGGCTTTTGAGGTTTGTGGTGGTGGTGGTGATGGTGGTGGTGGTGGGTGTGGCGCCACAGTGTTGTTGCACTACTACATTTCTGATCTATTGCAACCCCCAAATCTGTTGCATTAGGCGTCAAAATCCGTGGCATTAGGCCTAATGCAACGGCCATGTACCGTGGCATCTGTTGGCGTTGCAGTAGCCAGGTCTAATGCAACGGCATATGACACCTAATGCCACGGCACCAATGATCTGTGGCAATAGACCAATACCTGTTGCAACAGCATAACTTATCCGTGGCAATAGAGTACTGACTAATAATTACGATGAAATTGAACCTATTACAACGGATGAAGCTAATTAATACAATGACAGGAGAACGTATCTACTGCAACGGATTGATCATTTTTTTTTTGTTGGGATGGGATGGTAATATAATATATGTATAATTAGTCAGTACAAATTAAAATATGCTAACAGAAACAAATTAAAGTATCATTTATATATAATAATTATAATGCGAAATACGTACATTATTGCCCTTAAAGGGAAAAGTTACAAAATCAAATTTCACTAATTAAATTAATTGAGAAAACTACAACGACTACAATCTTTGAGAGGCAAGCGACCAACATCAGCAGGTGAACAGCAGCAGTAGAGACCAGCAACACAGCAAGCTGTCCCAACAGCAACAAGCTTAGCAGAACACTATATAGATAAGTACTACAGTACAAGACACAATCCAACAACCATATACAGAGCTAAACACACATCCTACATCAATGAGCAACACTATCCATAAACACACAATACATTTATACCCTGAAAACTTACCAGCTGTAATAATACAAGCAGAAGAGCTGCGTGAATATAAACTAAACCAGCACCTGACTCTCAAGAACTCTAAACCTGCAGACCACTTTAAACAATTAATTTACTTCATTTGAAACCGGAAGTTAATGAAAACCAAACTTCCAGAATAGATACTTTCTACTATAACACAGAAGGGCACTGAACTTACCAAAGAAATCACAAGCAGCTTGACTACTTGCCAAAACTAAGCACTCAGATTCTCTGCATACATATATAGAGAAAGAGATATGAGAACACCCAAACCCTATTTTCCCTCAATGTTCCATATATATAATAGTACTATTTTAAACAAAAAAGTAACCAAACAAGTACATTAAGACAATTCATATCACTATACACCTTACACCACAAGTAATCTCAAGTACAAGGCCACTTTTGTAAACCATCATTTTTTTC